AAGAGCGAATGTCAGCATCACCACCCTCATCAGAATTACAAGTGTTGTCATCACCAGTGCCATAATCAGAATGACAATCAACAAAGCCATCACCCGTATCAGCACCATCGTCTAATCAAAGTCCTTCCAATCATCACCATCACCATCACCATCATCGACAACATCAACATCAGCATCCCCATCATCATCACAACAATTCGTCAACAACGCCATTACCGAAATCAGCAACAACATCATCACCACTACAACCACCATCACCACCATCACATTCACCGGCTTCAACATCACCTTCCTCAGGCCATTGCAATCATCATCGCCATCGTCATCGCCATCACAATTACTATCGTCACCACTGCCACCGCCATCATTATGATCATCGCCATTGCCATCACCATCGCCGCGATCATCATAATCAGCTTCACGACCAAAACCACCACCACCACAGCCAACGGCCATCATCATCACGGCACCCATCGTAATCAGCATTACGAAACATCACCACCACCGACACCACCATCGCCACCAACATCACCAAAATCATGAAGTTCATCACCCCCCTCACCATCATCATCGCGAGAGCCGCTTCTCACTCGCGTCCTGCGCACCTCTGGTGAGAAGCTTGCGAAAAAAAAGACGCCGTCCTGTTTGAAGTAGCCCGGGGCCGCCAGAGGCGGCCGCGCGCGCGCAGGCCAGTCAAACTGGCCAGCCTGCCAGGGCTGCTTCAGAAATCCCCGACTTTGCAGGGCGCGGGGAGCAGGAAGGGAGAACTTGAACGCGATCGGGCTCATTCCACGCTATTATCCTATCCGCCGCGCCCTCACGACAGCCGCTGTTCACTCGCGTTCCAAGCACCTCTGGTGAGAATTTTTCGAGAAAAGGAAGCAGCCCTGATCAGAATAACACGGGGCCGCCAGAAGCGGCCGCGCGCGCAGGCCAGTCCAGCAGGCCTGACTTCAAAAAACTCCAACCACCACTGTTCGCTAGTTCGCACTGTGCGTCGAATCATTTACCAGCTGCACATGAGCGCCAGCAGCGGCGGGCAGCGGCGGGCACAAGCAGCGCGCTCCGGCGCGAAAGCAATGCATGCTGCCCACTGAATGCGACCACACCCACGCTTCACCGCACGCGGGCGGCACGACCGCTCAGGACGAGGAGGAAGAGAAGAAGAGAGACTACCGAGCCAGACTTGCCCCCGCGCCCACGCGCCAGCACGCGCGAGATCATTGACCTCCAGGGAGTCAGCGAGGCCACAACAGCGGGCCCGCAACGCAGCCCCGAAATGCCGCCGCCAGATTCAGAGCGCACGCGTCGGCAGCGCGGCCAAAACGAGGGCGACACGGGATTCAGAGCCGAACGCGGCCACAAACACGCAAGCTGCGGCACGCCAAACCGCCAAGCCAGTCGATGTCCGGCAACGCAGGGCACGGGGGGCAACATCGAGGGATCCACCCGCGGAAGCGCGGAGGGCACCTCCGTAGACGCCTCGACAAAGGGGGGGCACGGAACAGCCTGTCAGGGCCGAGCGCATCCACCATGGAACTGAACAGCGACGAATGCTCCGACGCCGCCAACCCAAGATCTTCGCCCCAGACGCGGCAACAAGCAGCGACGCGTCAGCGGGATGCTAGACGCAACCCGGGGGGGAGTCACCCGTCGACGCGCATCTGAAGCAGACCGCCGCCTCGTGCAGGTACATGCAGGGCTCGGGGGTGGATGGGCAGAGATGCTCCAATGATCTGCGCAGGCTCGAAGTCCAACCAAGGGCGGGTCGCGCCACGGGCACGCGCGCTCGGGGACATTGTGAATCGCGCGCGGCCAGCCATCGGCGCCAAAAAATGGCGCGCGCTTCTCTCTCGCGAGCTGGCGGCGCCAGCCTGCCTCCCCCAGTGGGCCAGCGCGGCTCGCGGCAGCAGGGCCTGCGCCCCGCCTCCAGCGGGACCGCGCGGTTCCTGGAGATGAAGCCCACATCCCACCTCCAGTGGGCCAATGCGGCTCGTTGAAAGTCACTGAAGCTCGCATCCCACAAACAGTAGGCCATTGCGGATGAGCATGCTCACTGAGCCGCATTCGCAAACTTAGTTCGACAGATGCGAGGGCCCCAGTGGGCCAATGCGGATCGGCATACTCACTACGCCGCACCCGCCGACACAGATGGCCAGATGCGAGCGCGCCAGCGGGTCCGCCTCGCGCGCCTGCTGCACGACCCAGGCATGGTCCACCCTAGACGAGATTGCGCTGCGTTCAGCTGCATCCAGTTCTCCCATTGGCAGAAGGTGATTGCGCAGAAGTCGAGCTCCATGTTCGACTCCTCCCGCATGACTCCCAGGAACACGCCGCGGGGGTAGGCCGACGCGTCGTGGACCTTCATGGGGCCTGCCGCCTGGACGTACTCGCCATAGCGCGAGTGCAAGAACACGGCCGCCTCCCACAGGTGGAGCCGCCCGCGTGCGTTCGCGAGGTTCGGAATGCTCAGCTTCGACCCGTTCATATTGCTAGAATCTGCATGCGCTTGGGGCTGAGGCCTGCTTCCAGCTGCGAAATGAGCTGCCAAGAATGTCCCAGGCCCTCGCAGTGGGTCGCAGGCCCCTTCAAATGGTCTGAGCGGGCGATGATGCGCATCGCAGCGATCTCTGCGCACAGGGGCAGCTCCGCGAAGCCGCGAGCAACATTTACCTCCCCTTCGGTCTTTAGGCCGTTGGCCTTGCGCGCGGCCCCCCCAGCCTGCACGCGCCCCCCAAGGTTCGCCGCTCAGCTGGCGAGCATGGCTCCGTTGGGGGTGAACTAATAGAGGGCCCCGGGCGCCTTGTCAGCCTGCCCCCCGCGCGACCCGACGCCGACTTTGGGCGGAATGGTCGCGCTGGCGCCGCTGATGACCTCCCCATCGTCGGCGACGCGATTAGTCTGGGCGCGGGAGTAGACCAGCGTAACATCAACGAGTACGCCCCTATGCTCCGCGCGGGCGATGACAAGGCATCGCGCCCGCCCATCAAAACTGCCCCCCCGCGTGGCGGCCTGGATGAACTACGCGTCGTCAGCGGGGCCCTCGGCCCCCAGGCAAGCCTCGATCGCCCCTGACACCAGGCCGTCGTTCAGCTGCACCGCGCCGAGCTCGCAGCACCCAGCGCGCTCGCTGCAGCGGGCGGCGCGGCGCGCTGGACGCACTCCGCGCTCATCAGCAGCGTCTCCGTGGACTCGGAGCCCACGTCGCATTTCCTGCGATGGCGAACGCATCCTGAAGGAGGCTCTACTGTTCCCGCGCGGTCGCGGCGACGCCCGGGCCATCGCAGTCGCACGGGCGGCCGACGCGATCCACGACGCGCGTCTTGTCGGCCCTGCTCGCTGTCAAGATCAGGGGGTTCTGCATGTTTTCGCTCTTGCTTCAGAAAAGAGACGGGCGGGACTGCCACCGGCATCTGTCGCCACGGCGGCGCGCCGGGATTATAGGAAGGCCTTCGCGGCGACGGAGACCTCGGCGGCATTCGTCGACTCCGGCGGCGAAGCGCCCGCGATGTGGCAGGCGACCTGGAGCCGCCTCTCGCCGGACCCAGGGGGGCACCATCGCCATCGCCCACAGGCAGGAGCTCCAGCGCTCAGCGAGATAGCGCGCCAGCAGCCGGGAGAGCCCGCTCTTCCTGGTCACGCTCTCGAGCTGCTCGTCGCAGGAGCCCCAGGTGCTTGCGGTCGGCGCATGAAATGAGGGTCGCGGCCCTCGAAGCACTCGCCGACAATCGCCGAGTCGCCGAACGCGCTCGCCTTCTGGAAGGTTTCCAGGCCCAGGTTGGCGCCGTCGGCGCAGATGATCACGCCGCGGCGGTGGAGGCGCGAGCCCTGCTTGCCTTTCGCGACCCGCGCTTCGAACCGAGGAAGCCGCGCGCGGAAGCGGTCGCACGTCTTCACCTCTGTCACCGGCGCTCCGACGGAGCCAGCGTTCCGAGAGTTCTGCAATGGGTCCTCGATGAATTCCGCGGGTTCGCGGGCGCCGATCCGCGCGCCGACTGCGAAGGGGGAACTGAAGTAAACCTCGATGCATCTCACGCAGAAGTTCTGCACAAATAATCAGTCGGCTCGACCGCTCGGACGTGGAGCTCGCGGGCGCGGTTCAGCGGGCGGAGGCCGGGCCGCTCGACCTCCTCGAGGAACTCCTTCAACGCCAGGGAGCCGTAAGAAGTGCTCTCGCGGCAGACGTGCTCGACCGTCTGCATGTTGCCGCACCTCCTGGCTGCCTGGACGCACTTGCAGTGGACCTCCGGTTCGGCGCTCGGGCTCCGAAACGCCTTCCAGGGAGTAGAGGGCGCCCTCGTTGGAGTTGCAACTCCCAGGCGCCTCCACGATCTTGATCGCGATAATCTGGTCATGGTACTCGATGGCCGCCGGGACAGCGGCCTGCAAGTGTTGCCGGCCATGCCGCATAAGCTCGTCAGGCGCTCAAGGTCTGCCCCCAGCGGAGGGCGAGGGAAGAACTGGATCAGCGTGGTTCGCGCGCACCAGGATCCGCTCGAGGTCCGCAGGGGCCGATGATGCTCCAGGGTGCACTGCATCGGGCTGGCCGGCAACGGAGCTGGCCGATGATCTCCCCACTGTAATGCGTGAACACGCCCTACTGCAGGACGGCCCCGGCAACCCTCGCCGCCTGCTGCATGCTCACAGCCAGAAGATGCGCCTGCAGCTGGGCCCGGCCCGGCTCGTTTGCCATCAGTGCCTCGAGAAGGAGGGAGTTGGTCTGCTGGAGCACGTCTTGGCCCATGAGGACATCCACCCCCTAGCCGGCGTCGCTGGGGGGCTGCCCGTCTGGGTTGGACGGCAGGAGGCCCCTGGCAAGGTGCCCCGCGCCCCCCCAGGCTTCGGGGGACCTTTTTTTCTGGAACAGCTGCGCGCGGTCCGCCTGGTTCTCCGCCGTCTTCACGCACGCCGTGAACTGGTCGACCTGCCCGCCCCAGCTCCACAAAGCAGAAGGGGACCATCTGGCGGCAGTTGGCGCGCGGGTAGATTGACCACGGGAC